CCCCCCCCCCCAGGGAGGAAACAGGTCAGGTCGGGCAGGACATCACGATGCGCCCAGCGTTGCCACATTTTTTTAATTAATGGATTATTGAATGGTTTAGATTCATTATTTGCTACTTAATTTTTTGAAGAATAGTAATTAAGTCTCACCCTATTCATCCATCCATCCATCCATACACTGTTTGCAAATACAGGGTGGAGGTTCCCCTGTTTCAGGAAACACATAGGCAGAGATACAGGGAAATACATTCAGTCACACTTACTCACTTAATCATGGGAAGAGCAGGGACTTGCAATGTCATGTGTATGTGTGTGTAGATATCAGAAACAACACATGAAATCAGACTCTAATCACAGTTACAAGAGCATCTGCAAAAGTGAGCCTTATTTGGCTGAATTCTCATTTAGCGATATGTGTGTTAGCTAAAACTGAGGCCTGACAGTCACATTTAATATGCACATTTCCATTTTCGCAGGACTGCAATTCACACAGAGGCTGCCATTCGGAAGACATTTATACCCAAAGACAGTGCGCAGAGAAGCATACACAGCTGAGTGGAGCGGAGAGCCCGGGTCCCGGAGAGACGGAATCTAGCCGGCGTGGTGAGCACTCCTAGCCGGCGTGGTGAGCACTCCTAGCCGGCCTCCCGCACTCCGCGGGGTTTCAGCTTTACTCCACAATTTCTGCTTCCAATTGTTGAGCATGGGAGGGGCACCGTTAAGGGGGAGGGAAGTCAGAACAATTCCAGGGGCCCCTGAGAGTCACTGGGGCCCTTCAACATTTGGAACATAATTGGATAGGTTTGGGTCGAGGGCCCAGTATGATATGCTTTCATGGGGCCCAAAATGTCTGGCGACAGTGTGCATAATGGTGGGGGCACATGTGAGCACTGCAGCAGTCATTAGGTCCAAAGATTGCTTTGCATGATCAGATAATTGTCCAGGAATATGAGGCTGTTTCACAGGATCTGGTGCTCCCTGTGGTTGAAGCAGTGTTCCCTCGTATTGTTTCCATATTCCAGGATGACAATGCCCCCTGTGTACACTGCTAAACAAATTAAAGGGTGACTTTATGAACATCAGAACAGAAGTCTTCCCAGTCATCCCACAGAGAGAAAAAATTCACCACTTTAATCCTTCAAACAAAAGGATGAATTCCTGAAGAAATTCCCTAAACCCACTATACTGTACATAGGTCAGGTGTTATGTGACAGAAGGACTGAGGCAGTAGGGTTATTCCATATTTGGACCTTGATGTTGTTGTTTTGTTTCTGTTTGTTATTGTTAGATCTTTCTGATGTAATAGGCAATTGCAAAGCTATTTTCTGAACTACACAGTGTTATGATTATAAGAAATATATTCTACTTCTGTCGTAATACACAAGCAAACATTATACAAAACAAATTAGAAGGTGAGCTGGTGAAACGACTTGTGTCCATATGTTCTGTTACGCCAGTTCTGTTACTTTCCGACTCATTATGATGCCTCAGAGAGACATTGATCTTTTGATTTTTACTCTTAGAAAGATGTTGTTGTGCTGTAACCACCTTGTTTCAGAATATTATCGCATTTCATCTTTGTGGTTCTCATTTACAAATAATCAAGAGAAACACAGTTCAGTACTACAACATTAAATAGTTTCCTTTAAACCACCTTAAAACACATCTTACCAGCCATTATGCCATAAATCTTTACTATCACCATTGTTTATCATTGTGAGGAAAAGCATAGAGATTCTTTTTTAAATGGTTGACAGTAGAATGTATATTTGCATTAAGGTGAATATTTTATGCTTTTGTCAAATGCATTGACTCATTTCTGTTGGTGTATTTTATCCTATAGCCCCATATATGTCAGACCACCAATATCATTCTTGACTGCCTTAATCCTATTCTATTAGTTTGGGAAAAAATAGATATATTGGCTCAGCAAAGCTGAATAGCTTGTGTGATAATTACCGAAGGGAATCACGGTAGCTGGTCCCTGAGACACGAGGCTAATGACGCCTTCTCCTTGAAGAAAACACGATCACTCAGCACCTCTCAAATCTCAACACTCACTTCCTCTCTAGACACCAGCACTCGACACCTCCTGTCTGGCACTAGAGAGAGACTATCATCACCTTATCCCTGTTACCCCTCGAAGAATTGCACCACGATTCAATTTCGCACTCAGGACAACTGGGATGTCTTGACCAAAGCAACCACTCAGCAGCTGTGCAAACATGACCGACATAAAGCACCGCAGACCCTGCCTGCATCCTTCAGAAATGCCGTGTAGAGTGTCCCAGCTAGACTGATAACGTGCATGCAAATGTCAGGGTGCTCTACGGCTTGGCCGATCATTCATAAATGCTGGGTTAAAAATCAACTGGGATAACTGGCATCCCAGAGCTGAGTAAATCGTGGTCAGAACACACACTGGGTTATTCAAACCCAGACTCTTGTGTATGCAATGTTGTGCCGGTTATTACTATACAACCCTTAAATTTACCTGCATTTACTAAATGTTGCTGTAAATATATACTGCTGTTGACAGAATTACGTTTCAGAACATGAATATCTATTGGACTAACAAACTCGGCTGCACTTCGGTGTCGACCTATCAGGGTTTAATCCGTGATAATGACCTGCTGACTTACCCCATACATAGCCCACTGTTCACAGTTAACATTAATTAGTTGACAATAGATGAGATGATCTAACATTATCGTTCAAAGAGAGCGAGTTAAATTTCATACTAACATTATTATTGTTAACAATAATCATTTTTATTACAAATAAAAATATTACTGTAATACAAAGAATTAAAAGTTTGTCTTGCTATGTCTGTGCCACATAAGCTGTTTGATCTCCAACAGTCCCAACAAAGAATTTCTTTGAACATGATGCATGAGATCGTGGGTTCCCATGACAACGGGGTACAGGTACCCAAGTACTGGGTCAAAAACATAACCCCACAGCTTGGTAAGGAGTGGGTACCTGCACTGAAAATAACCCAAGAGGCTCAACCTAGTATTCAGGTAGAAAAAAACTACCCAACGTTGTGCAGAGTGTAAGAGCGATGGGAAGAGAATATGGATGCAGCAGTAATATGTAAGTGTCAGCTTTATTATCCCAGCGTCGGCAGGATACGCGTTTCCCAGCATGCTCGGGGGCCGTGCATATACCCCCTGTGTATGTCTTGTTGTAAGTAGCTGTATGTATTTGTTTGTGTAAATATTTATGTTCCTAATTATCGCGTGTGTCCTTTCCTGTGTTGTATGTGTAATCCTGACGTTGCTCTAGCGTTGTATAATGATTACCGTGTGTAGCCTCCCCGCCTAGTGTGTAGCCTCCCCGCGTTTGCCTGACATGTTTGTCGGAGTCTTTTTAAGGAAAACGGCAAAGAACAACTTTGCGCAAAACCGCCCTGCCTCGGTTAGTCACTGCCGCTATGATGCCTTGTTCAGCCCGGCGCCATAAAATGTTTTAGTTACAATATCTGACTATATAAAACAGGGTTGATGACAACTATCAGTTATCAGAGGTGTTCAATGCATGTTATTACAGCAGAGTGCAGAGAAAGATGCACAGTGAACTCCCTGATACTGAGCCAGCCAGACGGGGGCTGTGTGAATCACTTCCTGCCTTTCTAATTTCCTCTTATTATCTACAGCTGACTTCCAAAATTGAGATCCAACAAACCCTTCATCTACTGTCTAGACGT